CTGCACAGAACAAAGAACAACGATGGGCAATGAAATTACAAGGGATTATCTATGGAGCCAATTTGAAGAATTCAGGAGAGATTTGAGTCAAGGCAGCATTCATGAAATGTCTGATAACTACCAAAAACATTTAAATGAGATGCAAAATCTGCCCCTTAATATTGCAGTTACTGGGCCGGCAGGTGCTGGTAAATCCTCCTTTGTCAATGCCATTCGGGGTGTAATGGATGATGATGATGAGGCAGCTAAAGTTGGAACAGTAGAAGACACCATGGTGCCAAAGGCATATCCCCATCCCTCTTGTCCCAATATCCAAATATGGGACCTTCCAGGGATTGGAACACCTATGTTTAAAAAAGTGGAATATTTGCAGAAAGTCCACTTTGAAAGATATGATGCCTTTATTATTGTTACATCTGATCAGTTTACTGGAAATGACGCTTTCCTGGCAAAGGAAATACAAAGAATGAGGAAGAAGTTTTACTGTGTGTGTACAAAAATAGATGTCAATATCGACAGAGAAAAGAGGAAAAACAATTTCATGAAGGAGAAAACCCTGGCATTTATAAGGAAATGTTGTGAAGGTAATTTGAGTAGGGCAAGTGGACTTTCCACACGAGTATTTCTGATCTCCAACTGGAAGGTAGACAAGTATGATTTCCCTCTCCTGCGAGAGACAATGGCTGCTGAACTTCCTTACTACAAGAAGCATATTTCAACAATGGCTGCGCAGCTTTTCTCCGAAAGTGAATTGATGACGAAAAAAGCTGAAATAACATCATATATAAAGAAGGTGGCGTGGGTATCTTGTGCTTGTGGAGTAGTTCCTGTTCCAGGTCTCTCTGTGCTTTGTGATATTCCAATATTGCTGGATGCTCTGAAATGCATCTGCAACGCATTTGGTTTCGATGACAATTCGCTCCATATTTTGGCAATTCACACTGGAAAAGGATTTGAAGAGTTGAAATCGGTTATCAAGAAAACTCCCTTAGCCAACACAATAAACATAGGATTGGTATTTTCTCTATTGATGAAGTCATCTCTCTGGGTAAATGTGTCGATTGCTGAAGTGGCTTTTACTTTTATACCTCTTATTGGGTCTGGGTTTGGTGGAGTAAGTTCATTTGCTGTCACATATCATTTTCTGAACACGTTTCTGGATGATGTTATGGAAGATGCCCGAAATCTTCGAGCAACGCTTCTTGAGTGATCCTTGTCCCAGGGAAAGGTCCCAGGCACCCTCAAACCCTGTTTGGAGGAGACAGTCAAGCATTTCCTCCAATGAAAGCAGGGAAGGAAAATAATAATGTGCTTCAAAGCCATAGTAGAACTATCTATTTGCTTGCTCGTTTTAATAATTCTTCAATTGAAGTATGTGCTTGATTATCCTTAGGACAAATAACTATCTCTGTCTGCAGATGTTTTCATAGGAAGCCGGAAATTAAATATTTCTTTTTTTTTCTTTTGTTTTTTTCTTTTCTGCATGTAACTATTATAAATAACAAAACAAAACAGGAGAGACTTTGCTATCAAGCTGAAAATATTAGAATCCTTTTTTAAAAATACCATGAAAACTCAATGTACTCTTCTAAAGCTACTAATGTCACACTGAGCATTATTTGTATAACTTCAATAGTTTTCTGTCCTTCCTTAATTATAATTTTTATAACTGAAATACATGTTTTCCTGCAATAAAAAGAATTTTAAACAAAGGTTCGAATGCTAGAGTCGCTAATCAAATTGAAAGGGATACCACTAGACAAGCTGCTAGAAGTCACTGGACAAAATTCCAATTTGTCCACTGTAACATTTGTCAACCCATTTACAAACTCAGGAACAAATACTTGGTGGGGCAGTAAACAAAGACATCTCAATGTCCCTTGCCTGAAAACAGGATAGGGGAGGGGTCTCTCAAGGGGTGTGTGTGTGTGTGAGAGAGAGGGGGGGGGGGGGGGGGGGGGAGAGAGGGAGGGAGAGAGAGAAAGAGAGAGGGAGGGAGATAAAGATAGAGGGAGGGAGACAGGGAGAGAGGGAGATAAAAAGAGAGAGGGATAGAGGGAGCGGGAAGGGAGAGAGGGAGATGGATGGGGAGGGGAAGGGAGGGAGAGAGAGAATGAGGGAAAGAAGGAGGGGGAGAGGGAGGGGGAGAGAAGGAGGGAGAGAGGAATGGAGAGGGGGAAGGGAGAGAGGGAGTGGGAGGGAGAGAGGGAGGGAGAGAAACTCAAAGCAAATGGCTCCCTGTCGCTCAGGGTTGAAGTGTGGAGACCCAGATACTCTCTAAGCTTGGTGGTTTGCTTGCAGACGTTTCATTACCCCACGAGGTAACATGATCAGTGCTTCAAGCAAATAGCCAAGGTCAGAGAACATCAAGGACTCCCCAGAATAAGCTCAGCTCTGCATACAGGCCCTCCTGCCACTTATGCTGATTAAATCTGACCAGGGATGATAATTTTCAGTGAAATAATTATTCCTGGTTTTAAAAGCATCTTTATTGTATGACACACCTAGTTTATTTCAAAGTGTGCAAAAATATTTGGACTTGTTTCCTCAGATGGTTATGACTCTCCTTTCCCTTTAATTAAGTTGGATTGCTGGAAATTATCTGTTCTTGATACATACCCTTTTAATATAACCAATTGGTTGAGATGCTAGATGGGAGAGTTGGAATTGCGGTCATCCTGGAATGGTTGGTTCCCATCCTTCCCATAAATTTCTCCAACGTCACTTTCCTATCTTCATCAGAGCCTGTTTCCACTGGAATCAATTCTGTCCTTTTCTTTAGCTCATTCTCCTTTTGCCCACTTTTAAAAACTGGTCTTAACCTGCCTATCCAAGGTCTCAACTTTGTGCAGGTTCTTAAGATTGGGGTTGACTAAACAGCCGTTTCTCAAGGATGCTGTAATGGGAGCCATGGTTGGACTGGGGAAAGGAAGGAACTATTGTTGAAGCAGGGAGAGAAAAGATCTTAAACTGATTCCACCTTAACTGTCCTGGGTGCAAGAAAGAGAAAGGGAAAGATGGTCCCATCAGGCTTCCAAGATTCAATAACTAGAGCAAGTAGAGTTCTCAGCATTCTTGTAAAACCTATTTCTGGCCTGGTCAACTGAACATGCCCAACCCAAAACTGACCAGGTTCAATGAAAGGTAGAGAAGAAAAATGGCTGAGAGTCCAAACTGGCACCCCCAGCTTGCCTATGTTCTCAATGTGGGTTGAGGGAAATCCCCCAACCAAGCAGGGAGTGGACTTGCACACATCTGGAGAGTCAATAAAGGTAAGTGGAATCAGGCTAAAAATAACACTAAGGCACACCACAACTCCCTTTTCCTGTCTCCCTGACAGGATAGGAGCCTCTGTGGCGAGTGGTTAGAGCGCAGTACTGCAAGCTACTTCTGTTACAGCCAGCTGCCTACAATTTGGGAGTTCAAATCCCACCAGGCTCAAGGTTGACTCAGCCTTCCATCCTTCCAAGGTGGGTAAAATGAGGACCCAGATTGTTGGGGGCCATGTGCTAACTCTGTAAACTGCTTAGAGAGGGCTGTAAAGCACTATAAAGTGGTATATAAGTCTAAGTGCTATTGCTATTAACCCTTAGGACAGGAAAAACAAAAGACCCTGGACCAAGATTAACCCAGTAAAACAGGAAAAAAAACAAAAACCAGGGCAATCAGAAACACATCAAAACCCATCAAGCTGCAAGAGCTTCAAAGGGGAATTAAGCATAAACAGCCCAGAGTCACACTCCCAATCTTTCTTGCAAGCTAGGAACGCTGGAGCTGTGTCACTTTTGCTTCTTGCCTTCCTACATTAAAGGAATTCTGCTTTCTGGCAGCTGGCTTCTGAATCCATTTGTTCTCAGCATCAGTGACTATGTCTTGGCTGGGAAACAAACACAGGAATTTTTCTTCCAACAGTTGCTATTGCGCCCTATTCAGACTGGGAATTTTCAGTCTGAAACCAGTGATCTGCAGAAGGGGTACAAATGTATCCTCCATGACACATTTAAGTTAATTATCTAGTGATTAAAATTACCTCAGAAGGTGAGGTGTCTTACTAGGGGCTATGGTGGATTTCACAGGCATAGAGAATGTGCGGGGAGCCATGACACAACTGAGAAGAATCACAATCTCTCTCTTTGTTTCCAGATAACCTGTGCAGAACAAAAAGCAACTATGGGCAATATATTTCTAAAAGAT